TGCCCATTTGATAATCCCTCACTGGTCTTTACCCAGTTGCTAATTTACAACTCAGCTGAGGGTCTTTTTTTTAAAAAAAGAGTGCTTGCTGATGCCTAGGATTCTGGGATAATAATAAGAAGAAAAATAATGTATATCCAGTGGCAGTGGTAGCAGTGGTTCTTAAACTTTTCATTATGGGGAAAAAAATCCCTTTTCTCATTTCCCCCGAACTTTTGACATAATAATAATTCATTTCCCCACTCTTAATTATTTACATAGGTAATAATCAACCAGAATTTCTGGTCAGCATGATATAAAAAGTAACATCAATGAGCTCATAAAATTTCAGGCCCCAGCAACGAAACCTGGCACTTTTATTAGTCTGTGCAGCCTCATTTCAAGTAAATCTGTAATTTTGACTGAGCTTTTAAAATACCGGTAATATAGACTCATGTAACCACTTTTGAAGGCATGTAAATGCTTAAAGGTGAAAACCATCCATCCATTGTGTATACTTATGCTCAGAAGGCTCAGCTGACTCTAAATTTTTGAATCTCAGAAATCCTTACTGCGTGAATTATGAAGTTGTTATTACTTAAATACAGCATTGATAAATAAAAAATATCCACATTTCCAGCTTCTCTTGAGAAATCAGAAGCTCTGGCAGCACTGCAGCAATAATAGACTGGAGCTGAGTAGTAGCCCCTGCCTCGGATGAGGCATGTGTCTCCAGTTTGCCACAGTCCTCACCACTCCCTACTGCCTCACTCCCTATCTACTTCCCCCCAAAACATTGCCTCCCTGACCCCCAACCCCCAGGCATTTGATAATAAGACCCTAATTCCAAGGCCTAACCTAGTGGCTTTGCATCCCACGCCTCCCTGCCCCCCCACCCCCCAGGCATTTGATAATAAGACCCTAATTCCAAGGCCTAACCTAGTGGCTTTGCATCCCACTATCTACCCCGCCCTTCTTCAGTTCCTTCTTAAGCTCAGTAAGTGACTCTGGTCCCCTGTCTGTTGACATGTCCCTGCCCGGTGGGGTGCAGGCACTACCCCCGCCCTCCCCGACCCTCGCTACCACACGTACGGACGCACGTCTGCTGCTGCTGTGAGCACGAAGCTGATGCAGGCCCGCGTGATGAGCAGCAGTAACCCAGACCTGGCGGGGACCCACTCTGCAGCAGACGAGGAGGTGACGAACATCATGTCCTCCAAGGTAGGGAAGAGGTCAAAGCCTGGAAAGTAGCACAGGTTTTTTTTATTTTCTAACTAAAACTTAGAGAAACAACATGAAATCAACCATTAGCTGCTGCCCACTGTGTTGGTCAGATGCTCTAATGCTCAGCTTTCGAGTGATTACTGTTCTTTTCTTTTGGACTGGTTGAGACCGTTCTGAAGATGCAGAGACAAGACAGAAGCAGATCTGGGGGTCTGCTCAGAATCAGTCAGCTCTGGGAGGAGGAAATTTTTAGAGCATAGCTGGTTTAGCCACATGGAGTCAATGAATACCATCAGTTTATTTTCAAGGAAAAAAATTTAGCTTTAACTTCTCTTGATGCCTAGAAAGCTTTTTTTATTTTGTTTTGTTTTTTAATATCTGCCTTTCCCATTTATTAACATCCATGGATTAATTTTCCCATATAATAATCCCAAGGAGCAAACCAAATAATAACTGAGATCCTAAGAGGGTGGTGGTGACTTGCCCTCTATTGTGTTTCTTTGCATATATTCTTTGTCTTTTCTTGATAAACTTTTTTTTTTTTCCTTTTTGTCTTTTTTCGTGACCGGCAACGGGATCGCAACCCTCAGTGTCGCGCCCGTACCATGACCGGCAACAAGATCGCAACCCTCGGTGTTGCGCCCGCACCACGCTCAACCAGTGAGCAGACCGGTCTCTATATGGGATCCGGACCCTCGGCGGGAGTGCCGCCGCACTCCCAAGCGCCGCATTCTACCGAGTGCACCACTGGGCTGGCCCTAAACTTTTTATTTTAAAACAGTTTTTGACTTTCAGAACTGTCGAAAAGATAGTACAGATAGATTTTTTTATATTCCATATCCAACTTCTCTGATATAAACATTTTGCATTAGAATGTAAAATTCTAATTAAAATGTATTAGCATTTTACATTTGTCATAATTAGTGAACCAATACTAATACATTATTATCATTAACTAAATTCATACTTTACTCAGGTTTCCTCAGTTTCCCTCTAATGTCCTTTTTCTGTTTCGCAGTTCCATCCAGGATATCACATGATGTTTTGTGGTCATGTTTCCTTAGGCTCCTCTTGCTGGTGACAATTTCTTAGACTTTCCTTGTTTTTTATTGTCTTGACAGTTTTGTGGAGTAATGGTCAGGTATTTTGTAGAATGTCTCTCATTTGGAATTATTTTTTTAAATTATGATATATTTCACAAAACATAAAATTCACCCCTTTTAAGTATATGCAACCCAGTGGGTTTTAGTATATTCACCAAGCTAGCTATTAGGAATTCTTTTTTTCTTTTTTTATGAATTTTTAATCTGACTTTTTTCCCCAGTTATCTGTGGCCTCAGGGTGGCTGAACTATTAGAGTAATATCATTTCCCCTGATTAAGAGAAAGAAAAACCTCTAGGTTTAGATACAGTTTCCCTTACAGATTCCACTACTTGCAATAGTGTGGTGTGAGGAAGGGAATCCAGAGACCAGAGTTTGGGTCTTGTCATTGACTCAACCCAGCTGTGTGTCATGTACAAGCCATTCACTTGCCCCAGGCTCCTTGTCCTCATTTCTGCAGGGGTTCTGACCCCTGGCTGAACTTGAGGATCAGCTATGGATCTTTTAACAACACTGGATCCACCCTAGAGATTCTAATGAATCATATGAAATTGCTGATATTCTACCCTTTTTGACTTACAAAAATCAACCCAGGGATGTGCTAGATCCTGCTCATACCAGTTTCTGAGAGCTGATAAATTTTCAGGAATTTTTTGAGCCAATTGTGAAACAGACATTATTAAAAATTAAATGATATAAATTTACAGTCAAATAAGTTATATTACAAAGGTAATTTAAATGCAATGTGGTATTCTGAATTGTATCTTGAAACAGAAATAGGACATTAGTAGAAAAACAGGTGAAATCTGAAAAAAAATCTGTGGTTTAGTTAATAGTAATATACCAATGTTAATGTCTTAATTTTGACATATGTTACTAGATAAGATATTAACATTAAGGAAAACGGGTGAAGAGCATACAAGGACTCTCTATACTAACTTTACAACTTGTCTGTAAATCTGATAATAATAATGGCAATGTAAATAATTATTCCAAAATTAAAAGTTCATTTTTAAAAAGTAGTATGCAAACTTCATCCCTTCCTAATTATTTTACTACATTTTAGTATTATCTATATTCTTAAGGTTATTTATGTCTGTTGTCTCTGTGTGGTGGAAATACTGTGTAATGGTTTGCCACTGCACGTCTCTTCCCAACACTGCATTTCCATGACATGATGGAAACACTGCATTTCCATGATGGAAATATTTACAGTGCAGAAATTGGCAAATGCAATCAACTAGTCCCTCCCCCATCAGCCCCCCCAAGAACCAGTTGTTAAACGTTTGCCAGCACACTCATATTTAGGGCCCCTTTAATCATGCCATTTTATGGTTGTTCAAGGGAGACGTGGTCTGCAGCTATTACTGAGAGCCTTGATCTTTATAATTTCCTTAATAAAAAATGAAAATATTAAATTTCTATGGGGACTGGGTTGACAATTTTCTAATATTTTGTACCAGGGGAGAAAATTTTGTCCAATCAGAAGAATAGACCATGACCCTTCCTTTCAAAAGTGGTTTTTGACAATTTATTGGTGTTCCGGAGACTGAGTTACCATTCTAAACCACAAAGGGGCACTGTTCCCACGCATTTTTTTCTGCTCTCTCAATAAAGCCACAGATTTAGAATGTTGCAGGGACTATTCAGCACCCCCTGATTTATGGTTTTTAACTATAGGTTGCTAAACACCAAACTATTAATGATGATTATCTCAGGAGCAAGTGGAATTCAGTGTAACTTTACCTTCTTTGCTTTGTTTTGTATTTGTTTATGGCAATTGTTTTACCTTTGTAACCAGAAAAAAATAAGAAATACATTAAAAATGAATTCTGAGGTTGTGATTTCCAGGTGGCTGTCTCATCTTTTCCATCTCACCACTGTCGCTGACTACCAGTCATGGTTTATGTGTTTCAGATGGCTGATCGCAACTGTGTCCGGATGTCTTACTATTGCTCAGGCAATAATGATACTCCAAATTCTACTGCAGCCCCAAGGCCAGCCAGCAAAAAGGTACTGAGCAGGACAGTGTGAGGAAAATCACAGAACAAGAAAGGGTCCTCGCACTGTGATTGAAAATAGACACCATCAATGTGCTCACCTGCCTTGTTTCCCAACTGCTCACCAGGGTGTGTGTGTGCATGTGAGCGTGAGTGCACACACGTGTGCACATACACACACACACACACACACACACTCTTTTTCAGCCCTGTCCCTTACCCCCCATTTTTTAATCATCTAATTGTGCATTAAAGTTGGTTGTCCAACTTTATTATGCATCATAATTACCTGAAAGACTTGTTAAAACTAATTGCTGAACCACACTCCCAGAGTTTCTGATTCAATAGATCTGATCTGGGCCCAGGAATTTGCATTTCTAACAAGTTCCCAGCTGCTGCTGGTCCGGGGACCACACTTTGAGAATCACTGCATTAGCTTCATTTTTAGTAGAAGGAGAGTTGGAGACAATTCATTCTTGGCAAAAATGGATGGCAATAATTAGGTATTGTTTATTTCAAAACCGTATAAAGTAACATGAAATGCTTCCTCGTGATTCGCCATAATCGGCCTTACCCATGAGTTCAGAAACTTTATAAGCTGTTAAATTTAACAGAATTCCTTAAACCAAAAAATTCTCTAGTCATAGTCACAGCCCGTGTGGTCTAAGGGATGGGGAAAAAGCTGTCTGTTCCAGTTTTCTACTCTGATAAATACCCAAGTCTCACCATCATGATAGCTACTTAAGTTAAGGTCTTGAGTGTCTTTCAAGACCCCTATTAAAATGTAAATATACTAATGGAAAAGCGTAACACAGAAAGCCATTTGCAACAGCTAACATCACCAGGAAAAGTTTATGAAAAGGCGAGGAGGGAATGAGCCTCAGCCCAGCTCCGTTTGGACTGGATGAGGGAAAGATCGAGGGTGGGAGGCCCTCCCAGGGCCTGGGACTGCAGACTTTGCAGTAATCCAGGCACCATATATCCAGGAAGAGGTACCAGGAGTTAACTATAAAAGGAAAAGTGAAAGAAGATGTGGTTAGGCTAAAAACAAATTTGTCGATTACTTTAAAATTTAGCTTTAGGCTGTCACAGCCAGTTTGCAATGACCAGTTAGAAGTACTACTTTCCTGCTTAAAAACCACTATTTGCGGGCCGGCCCGGTGGCGCACTGGATAGTGCGCCGCTTGGGAAGCGCAGTGGTGCTCCCGCCCGAGGGTTCGGATCCCACATACAGACCGGTTCCCGCTCACTGGCTGAGCGAGGCGCGGGAGCAACACCGAGGCTTGCGATCCCGTTGCCGGTCCCCGGTCCGGTACGGGGGCAACACTGAGGGTTGCAATCCGTTGCCGGACACGGAAAAAGACAAAAGACAAAAACAAAAAAAACAAAAAACACTATTTGCCTACAGCCAACTTCCTTAAGGCATGTCCTGTTTGGTTTTGTAATTGCCTTGTTTTGACCTCAAATGACCAGAAGAGAATCATTTCATTTCAGAGGGAAGTTTAGCCAGTATGTTTCCATAATAGCTCAGCAAACAAGGTTTTGCTGCTTGGCTATTTTATATAACCTCCAGAGCAAGGTGTTCTTGTAATAATGCTGCCCAGTAAGCAGCATAAATTACTTTAAGAAGCAGCTTATCCTTGTCTAATCTCTACTTGCCATGAGACTCTGGCAGTCAAGCTGACCTATTTTCCAGAGGCTGCCTTTGAAACTGGTGGAGCATGTGTTTCCTACAATGGGAAGATGGAGGTATAGCCAGGTTATATTATGCACACAGTTAGCCCACCTGCTAGATTGAAACTCAATCCCACACCTCTCCCAGATGGGAGAGACTCACCTAAGACTTACAACAGCAAACAAATGTGTTAATGTGTATTAAAATTATTAAGGTTTGACTAGTGAGACAAAATGAACTGAAACCCACTGATAAGCTGAAACACCTAAGCATTCTCCACCCTTCACCATTAACCAACCAGGGACATAAGTAGTTAGAACACATCCGCACAGAGATTTTCCATTTGTCTCCTTTTGGTTTAACCAAGTAGCTCTCGAATTTTAATGTACATAAGAATTAGTAAATTGGGTTGCAGGCACGCTGTATTCTGTGTGTAGTTTAAGACTGTCAAGAGCAATCTTTGTTTCAGAAGTTGACTTTAAAACTTAACTTCTACGTAAGCCTGTGATATTAGGGTGTTCAAATAGTTTTAGCTTTCTCACACACTGAACAATAAAAAATGAGTTCATCTGTATTTATTCTAGGTTTTGTGGGCATAAGATGAAAGAAAAGCACAGAATTCCCAGACATCATTTTTGCCTTTATTTAGTGTGACCAACTGTCCTGGTTTGACCAGGATGGAGGGGGTCCCCGAGATGTAGGACTTTCCATTTTAAGACCAGGACAGTATCAGGCAAACCGAGAGAAGTTGGTCACCCTACCTTTAGCCTTGAACTTCTTCCCTATCAAAACTATTGTCACGAGTATTAGTTAACAAGTAGTCAAGTAAGTTGGGGAATGGGAAAGGGGGAACGGCATGAGCCGTCCTCTGCTATTGAGCAGTCAGGTGACTTGAACAGATGTGAAGTCATAAGGGCAGCTGAGGGACTTTTCAAGCATCTGACCCCGGGACATAGGAATTTAGAAGTTGTGAGTTCAGTCTGGTATCACTCTGCCTTTTAATGCAGAGGATCCACTCATAAACCCAATTGATGTCGTTTTCCACAACGCCATGGTGGAATGATAAAAACAAAACTGTCCAGTCTTGAAGGGAGTTTAGGTACCATCTAGACAGTGGTCCTCGAAGTGTGACCCTGGACCAGCAGCATCAACATCACTTGGGAACTTGCTAGAAATGCAAATTCTCAGGCCCTGCCCCAGACTGACTGAATCAGAATCTCTGGGGGTGCGGCCCAGCAATCTGTGTTTTATCAAGCGCTCCAGGGGATTCTGAAACCCATTTGTTTGAGAACCACTGCTACTCACCAACTGATTTTATGGCTGAGAAAACTGAGGGCAAAGAGAGGAGGAGTGGCTTGCAATGGGCACACAGACAGTTTGCAGCAGGATCTGGGAGGAAAGGGACAGATGGTACCAGTTACGACTGCTACCCTGGAGGGCCTCCCCTGTGGAAAACAGTTCCATTCCCATGCCCAGTCCATTCCTTCAAACCTCGTCCTTCCACACAGAACCAACACCATCCTCCTCCCACCTAGATGTCCTCCAGACTCAGGTTGTTTTAGCATTGACTTTACCATCCAGCGCTTATGGCCTAGGACATCTAGGACACATGCTTCAGGAACTAACAAGCTATTAAACTGGAAAAAAAGAAAAGAGGTGTGGGTGAGTGGCAGCACATGTCATCACAGCCTGGTTTTTGTGGTTGTTGTCCAGCATTTCCACGAGGAGCTTTCCCTGCAGATGGTGGTCAGCACTGGGATGGTGAGAGAAACGGTCTTCAAGTACGCCTGGTTCTTCTTTGAGCTTCTGGTGAGATTCTTGCTTGTTTGTATCTGTGCTCAATAGGGCAGGAAAAGCAAATGGCAGGAAGGCAGCAAAGTTTCCCATAGCAGGGACTGATATTTGGTTCACTGAATTGCTCCTGCTGAAAACCTGGGACTGTTCCTTGAAATCTAACTCTCCCTCACCCCTCCATCCATCTCCCAGCAAATCGTATTGCTTCTACCTTGAAAACCTACCTCCAACCTGTCATGTATTGAGATCACCGTTCCCCACCTGGCCGAGCCACCATCACCTTGCGTGTGCCTCTGGCAATAGCTTCCTCTTTCTCCCACCTGTATTCATTTTTGCCCTCAGCATGTGCATTCTGCACGAGGCAGCCACTACATAACAGATAATGTCACTCCCCCCTCTAAAACCCTTCAGTGATTTTCACTGTACTGGGAATAAAGCACAAATTGGTATCAGGGCCTTAAAGGCCCTTGCGTGATTCTGTCGTCTACCTGCATCACTAACTTCATCTCATGCCATATTCCCCCTCATTTGGCCACAGTGTCCCCCCGTTTGGTTCTTTGAAGATGCCAAGGCCTTTTCAGCCTCAGAGCCTTTTTCAGATTCTCTCCCCTCTCCCCGCTTTTCACCCCGTTAGCCCCCTAAATGCACACTCTTTGTGTTCTTTAGATTTTATCTCAAACGTTACCACCTACAAGAGGCCCTTTCTGACCACCTTTTGCTATAGTATGTTTTCTACCCTGTTATTCTCCTTTTAAACACCCTGTTCCTTTCCTTCCTGGCACTTGTCACAATGTGCAATTGTTTTTCTGTCTCACCTATTAGATCCCTAGGATTTGGGTCTATCTTCTCCATTATCTGGTCTCTAGTCCCAGCACACTGCTTGGTATTATGTAAGCACCGACTAATGTTTGTTGAGAAAAAATATGAAACTTGTAAATCTGTTTACCCTACAACTTCTATCAGTTCCTCAGCAGAAAAGCAAAAGGTACAGCCATAATTCCTTAATTCTAAAATAAGGAGAATAATACTGATATCTATTTTTGTTTAATTAGTAATGGAAGTGAACGGATTTTACCATAAAGCCACTAAAAATAAACATTTTGTCAACGTTGATAGATGGACATGCACAGTGAAATGAAGTTAAATGTAAAAGGTATAAAAGCACAGACACCAACTGTATAAAAATGTATATACAAACGATTCAGAGGATTAGAAGTGGATTGAGATTTAATGATAGTGTTAGCTTTGTATGCACAGGGTTCTTTCCCCTGTGACATTGTTTAAGTGAAAATATTTTTTAAAAAGAGGAGAGAGGGTAGAGTTTCCACCGTAGCTCTAGTTTGTCTATGTAAGTTCAAGCCTAAGGAAAAGGGAGTGATGCTGAACAACAGGATGTAGAGAACAAGGGGTTAAGAAACACAAATAAAACACACACTGGGGAGGAAATGGGAAGTGATGGGCAGTGGAGTTAAAAATGACCCAGGGGGCCGGCCCTGTGGCTCACTCAGGACAGTGCGGCGCTGGTAGCGCCGAGGCCGCAGGTTCGGATCCTATATAGGGGTGGCCCATGCGCTCACTGGCTGAGCGTGGTGCAGACCACCCCGTGCCAAGAGTTGTGATCCCCTTACCGGTCCAAAAAAAAAAAAACGAGCCAGGCTCATGCCACAGAAATGCATCCAGGATTCAAATCCCTGAGAGCTTCACAAAGTCCCAGCCCCTAGTTTGAGAAAGGTCCCAAAGCTCAGTTATCCCTGCAACAGGATCAGCTGCGGGTGCTTAGTAAAAATAAAAGCAGATCCTTGCGATCCTCCCTAAGACTACTTAATAAAATGAGGAGGAACGGAGGCCGGCAGTGTGCATGTGCCTGTCTTTCCAGGTGACTTCTAAGCACACTAATGACCCGCTGGTCTACACCACCTCTACTCTGAGTCCCAAACACAATGAGGGGCCTTTTGGTATTTGTATCCAGTCAGCACCAGAATTTTGCGTTCTAAAAGCCAAGCTGATTAAGGTGGGTGGCTGCAGTTCACAAGTCTTGGGGCAAGAGCATTAGCAGTGAGACATGAGCTCCGTGATTTGGTAGGAAATGGACTGGCCATGAAACTCACTCCCCTCTTTTTTTTTTTTTTTTTTTTTTTTTTTTTTGAGGCATGAGAAATACCAAAACCAACACTCCATGCCCTGTATATTCTGCTTGAGTTTACCCATCCCTCCCACCGTCAACGTTCTCCATAAAGAAGACTCCCTTTGGGTCATGATAGATAATTCATACAAATAATCCTAACTGAATTCAACTGTCAAAATTGCAGATTTTTTTTAAAAAGGCAAGAAGCAAAGTCTAAATTTGATATTGGAGAATGTCATAGAAAATCCCAAAGGAAAGCAGAATTCCAATTCACAGGTGTTTCGTATTACTTACTCATACACATAACACACATGCACACACTTCACCTAAACATTCTGAGGTCTTATTTAATAGTTACATTGTATAAGCACTGCCCTTGTTAGACTGTGGAACCAAGCCCCTAGAAGGTGGTTTACAAAACTTAGCTATGGGAGGAGCCCTCCCAATACCAGCTCTAGGGCTCTTTAACACATCCTGGAAACCTCCTTAAAAACGCTGAGAGTAGTAATCACCGTCACACATGCCAAGGCTGAGTAGGGATTTGCCCAGCCCTCTCAGACAGTGAGGGGCAGAGTCTCAATTCTCCAACTCTCAATTTCAGGCTCTTTTCCTCTGCCATTTTGCCTCTTTGGGAAGATCAAAGTTTCAAAGCATTTTCTCAACCTAACGTCTTGACAACATGCAAAATTTTTGTATTCAGAAGTCAACTTTAATGCAGTCCAAATACATAATAACACTTGCTATTCCATTCCCAGTCATAATGAACTCAGCCTTGCCAAGCCTGAGTGGTTCCGCATGGCATCTTAGAGTTCACTTCTGAAGGCAAGTTTGTGTTCTGTGCAGGTGTGACAATGACTCTGTCCTTCATATAACCTCAGTAACAGGGGCTTGCCTAGAAAAGAAAAATAATAAAATCAAAAATGTATTGGGCATCTCACTGCATATTTGCCAGGCACTGTTTTAAGCATTATATTAATTAATTCTCATACAACTGTAAGGCAGAAATTTGTATTAGCCCTAATTTATATATGAGGTTGGAGGAAGGGTGGTGGCCATAAGGAGGGTCTCCGGCTCTGCCAAAGCCTTCAGTGGTACCACTTCACTGCCCCTAACTGCAGGGAGCTAGGAACCATGGAAAAGGTGAAAATTGTTTTTTTTTTTTTTTTCCTTTTTGTTTTTTTTCGTGACCGGCAACGGATCGCAACCCTCAATGTCACGCCCGTACCGGATCGGGACCGGCAACGGGATCGCAACCCTCGGTGCTGCACCCGTGCCTCGCTCAGCCAGTGAGCGGGAACTGGTCTGTATGTGGGATCCGAACCCTCGGCGAGAGCGCCGCCGTGCTCCCAAGCGGCGCACTGTAGCAGTGCGCCACCGGGCCGGCCCGAAAATTGCTTTTGAGCTTGCACCTTTATTTACTGGGACTTGGTGGGCCCAGGAGAGAAAGCAAAAGCTGAAGTAGATACCCCTCCTCACCTCTAAGGAGTCCCTTATGGTAAACAGATGAAGCTGTTGAGGAGAAAGCTTCTGCTAATCTAAGCACATGGAGTGGGCTGGTCAACTTGCAGATCAGCCAAGACACCAGTTACACAGGCTCTGTAGGCTATCGCCTAAGTCTGTCAGGGTCCTGTCAGGACAGAGTTGGCATTACTCAAAAGGGTTAACTGAAAAGCAATTATCAAAAGGACTCTGCCCAGGGTGTGCTCAAGGTTACTGGAGCCAAGAAGGATTGAGGCAGCCAGGGTACAGCAACTTCCAGAAGTCTTTATCTATCCAGATCTAAAGAATCAAGGGTGGGGAGCAGTGCAACTGGGGCCTAGAGGGTGCTGGAGGCAGAGAAGGGGGTCCACGCAACAGGAGCTGGAGACTTAGAAAGACGTTGCCATTGCTGGAACCGCACTGTGGCAGGGGTGAGGCCATGGGAGTGAACACGGCTGACCTCCATATCTGTGGGCTTTTCATCTGTGAATTCAACCAACCACAGACCAAAAAATTGTGTGTAAACTGAACACCTACAGATATTTTTCTTGTCACTATTACCTCAACAATATAGTATAATAACTATCTTCATAGCATTTACATTGTATTACGTATAAAAGTGATCTGGAGAGGATTTCAAGTATCAGGAGGATGTGCATAGGTTACATGCAAACACTATGCCATTTTATATCAGGAACTTGAGGATCAGGTATTCGGATATCCACAGGGGGGTCCTGGAACCAATCTCTCAGGGATACCAAGGGACGACTGTAAATATCAGAACCTCTCTATTCTCCCACCCACTGATACCCTGCTGGTGCCTGCCACTGGCAAACTCCAACCAGAAGCCAGAGGGTAAGGGGACCTGAGTGGTGCAGTCCATAGAGACCACCTTCCCAGCATTCAGAGACAGAGAAGAGCAAGAGCTCCATCCAGCGGCTGGGGCAGAAGCAAATGGAAATCATCAGCCCCCAGCTAGAGCTCTGCAAGGAAATCAATCTCAGATTCAGACAGGGTGCCAGTCCTCCATGCATTGTTTATGTACTTGCCTGACTGATGCCCAGAAAGTTATTTAAAAACCCAAACAGTTTTTTTCCTAAGAAGCTTGAAGAGAAAGAAACTGCAGCCTCCTCGGTTTTAGCCAACAACCTGGGCAGTGTAACACCCTTTACTTGTGTTAATGCCCAAGTGCTAAAAAACAACCACTTTGGCATTAGAGCTATTGAACACAATCCTTGGGTGAATTTTGTTCTTGCTGAGGAATAAATCCCTGTGCTTCTAGAAACTGCTGAGCCAGACCTTGGAAACCCAGAGGTAAATGAGTAACCTAGTTTACTCACTCAGGACATGAAGTTCTGCATTAAGGGGTTCTTTAGAGGTATCTGCATTTTGAATGTGCCAGAAAGGCCAATGTGGGGGAAAAGGTTTTCCTGCCTCACCCCACCCTACAAATAGAGGGCAAAGCACCCGCTAGTATTTCTACTGGGTGTTCTTCTCTGGCACCCCAGAGGACACAGTAGCTGGCAGGCTGCTGACAGTCTGGGAGGAGGCCATTAGTCAGAAGTACATTATTGGGAGAATTATTTATTTGGTTGTAGGATAGCCAAGCTCAGCAGGCAGGAGCAGAATACAGCAATGAGTTCTAAAAGCCTTGTGCTGTGCTGCGTTAGCCAACAGAGAGTCAGGATTGGGGTCACCCAAAACAAAGAAGCCTTGTCTTGCTAGGCCAAGCTCAGCAGGCAGGAGCAGAATACAGCAGTGAGTTCTAAAAGCCTTGTGCTGTGGTGCGTTAGCCAACAGAGAGTCAGGATTGGGGTCACCCAAAACAAAGAAGCCTTGTCTTGCTACCTTAGATGGTATCAAAAGGAATAGTACTGACCCACGAAACTCCTGGCCTCGAGAAGAAGTCCAAAAACTAAGCATGATCTTGATTTACGATTGCAGTAGAAATTGAGCTGGTGTTATACTAGTCATAATATAGACACTCACCAGTTCTCACACACACACACTACAAGTTAGGCTTATAAAACTCAAAACATCATTTCCCCTAGAGGCAATGTTCTAAATAGTGGTTAAGTTTCCAGCCAGCCAACAAAATCCTGCTCAACCCATAATATAGCTAAAATTTATAGAAGTAGAAAATAACCCTGTTGGAAACCATAGAATTGTTTCTTGAAAAACTGTGCTCCCTGTTTCAACTTGAATGAAACTCCATATAGGAGAAATGCTTCTCCCCTGTTCTCCTTACTAAAGTTCCAGGAACAGAAAAGACTTCAGTCCACATCAGAAACAGTCTGATCAAGAGCTCCTTCTCATGTCATGTTATATGCTATGATAGAGGGACGGCTACCTGGTGAAGGGAGCCCAGGCAGTGGAGAAAAGGGGACGCTTCCGACACTGTGCCTTCTGAGTTTGTCAGCAGAAAGAAGGGAGTCCCTGGGGCCGGCCCGGTGGCGCACTGGATAGTGCGCTGCTTGGGAAGTGCGGCGGCGCTTCCGGCTGAGGGTTCAGATCCCGCATACAGACCGGTTCCCGCTCACTGGCTGAGCGAGGCACAGGAGCAACACCGAGGGTTGCGATCCCGTTGCCGGTCCCCGGTCCGGTGTGGGGGCAACACTGAGGGTTGCGATCCGTTGCCAGACACGGAAAAAGACAAAAGACTAGTCAGAAGTACATTATTGGGAGAATTATTTATTTGGTTGTAGGATGGCCAAGCTCAGCAGGCAGGAGCAGAATACAGCAGTGAGTTCTAAAAGCCTTGTGCTGTGGTGCGTTAGCCAACAGAGAGTCAGGATTGGGGTCACCCAAAACAAAGAAGCCTTGTCTTGCTAGATCCTCTGTTAGGAGTGCGGTGAGAGAGATGCTTTTATTGGACAAAAGTGGGATTCAGTTCCCACCCCTTATTTGGGTCTTCCCACCAAGCATGTGTGGCTCTACGAGACATGGACATGTCCACGTGTGCTGAACCATGGTTCTTACACTGGGCTTCAGGATTTGATGCTCTTAGGTTCTCCCTGAGCTGGCCATGGCGTAATCTGAAAACATGAAACACACAAAGCCTATCTTTCTGTTTTTCTGTTCTTATTTTGCCTTCTCTTTGTTTTTCTTTTAACAAAAATTGCCAGTCCTGCATTCTTAGAAACAGAAATCTGCTGTTAGTACATAAAAGTTCTCCCATACAGCTGTTGGGGGTGGAAGTCAATTTCACATGACTATCCTTGTCCCCTCTTTTTCCAGCCCTGACTCAGGGCAAATGTGTGTGATTCAACCTCCAGAGACATTTCTTTCTGCTGTGACTCTTTGACTAGCCTGGACACTCTCATGACCTCAGAAAGTGACCTCAGAGGGTAGGCACCCAACCACAAGAGCTTCCAGCCTTTCCCATCAGACTGTTCCTAATAGTGCTAACCAGCTTCCTTCAAGGACAGGACTCAA